ATCCAGTTGTGGAATCAGATATTCCATCCTTATGTGTTCACGGATGCAACTGATCTCTGACGAAGTGTCTGACGAGTTTACAGCAAATCAAGCGCTTCAAAATAAACTCCTCCGTACAATTCCTCCGATGTTTTAGGGAAGGATGGTGCACCTTGTCCAACCTCCAATCGTGCTGGAGCCCTCCTCTTTCTTGGCAGTTAAGGTTCTAAAACGTCAAGAAATGATTGTTTCTTTTTCAAGACTGTCTCATAGAAAGTCTTGAAAGAATCGTCACTTCTCATTCGTTTCAGAGCCTTTGTAGTGAGTTTGGCATTGTGCTGTCCAGAAACAACCGACATAGTTGATTTTTGTGGAGTTGCTGATAAATTGTCCGTGTGACGAAATATAAGTTGACCCAGATGTAGGCCAAAAAAGAAGTCAAATGATTTCATTTGAGCCTGACAGCCTAAAACACGGCCACGAACGTCTGAGTCCAGTCGTTTCTCAAGACATTCGTCCCAGAGATTTTACAAAAACCCGTAGTTTTCAATAACTCTTTGAAAGAAAATGGCCCGAACAGTCCAACGCGTGGCACTGAACTTCGCTAGACTAGCAACATCTACCCCTTCGTCCCCTTCATAGCAGAGATTTGCCTTAATGTCCCCCAGTATGTTATCTCGTTTGGAGGAAAACTTAACAAGTTTAACAGTTTCGTTTGTGTTCATTGTCTCCGAAAGTATCTTGCAGTTGTTTGTGGCATCTTTCACGCTTAAACTAAAATAAAATTTGTTGTTGTTGTTGTTGTTGTTGTTGAATGGCCAAGGTAGTGGGCTGGGTGTGCCTTTGGCTGACACTCCAGTATTTTCTTAGCAACACCGCTCCTTTTGCCCAGCATCGTAGTATTGCCCTCTGCATTGGGACAATGACAGCTGTAAGCGAATCAAAGCATCCTTGATTGTCAAGAAAATGGTATCGGACTCAATTTTTGGAACATTATAGAAACCAAAAAAGTCTTCATGGGCGTCACGATTTTCGTCGACCCATCGAAGAAAAATCAATAGTTACTCCTTGTTACTTATGACAGTGTATTCATCGGCAATGTTTGAAAAGAAATTCGAACAGATATCGTTCACAAGATCCCTTTGCTGCTGATGAGCCATTGTATGATTTCGTTCTGAATATCATGACTTATATACTTATCACCGCTTTCCTTTTCCATCCATTTAATCAGTCCAGGATCGTCCTTTCCGCGCAGTAAAGCTGATAAAAATTTGATTCCTTGTCGGTACTCCCTTGTACTGGTTGGCCTTGCCTGCAGAAATATTTCAAGTTTTCAACTATTTTCAACAAGTAACGGCGATTAGTTTCCAATGTGTTTCTTCCTGATCGTTCGTGAACTCTAAACCATTACCGCACCGTGGGCAGCCGTTCTGTGACAGTTTGATTGTTGATGCGCTTGAAATTTTTCCAGGGCCCTTTTCCAGTTGTTGAATCCCTTTGTGATAAATGTCTCCTTCTTCTTTGTTACTGATTTCAGGGTTCCTTTGGAATTTTGTTCAGCGCAAATAAAACACAGTACGGAGTCGGTTTTTTGATCGTAATGCAGCCATGAAAATTGCTTAAACCAATCTGACTTGAACGCACGATCTTTGCTACCAGTAAACTTCCTTTGAGGGTATTTAAAATCGGATGGCTGATAGGATTTATCAAAGAGATGGTCCTGGACGTGCTGGTGGTTGTTTAGAAAGGGAAATGGTGTCTTGTGTTGGTTTGTCACTAATTGTGATCGCTTGATCAATGGTGGCAATTGGTGTTGCTGTGCAGCTGCTATCTCTTACAGGATCACGGCGTTCCATTTCCGTATATGTAAAAATTATCTTACAAATTGTAGTGATTCAGCAGGAATTATTGATACGGCAATAGTACATGACTGAATATATGACATGTTTTGCTATAAAACTGGACATGTTTCATTTGCAAAATTATTATCGAGATCTGAAGTTCGTTGCCGGGACCTTCGTTCTTCTACCCGTGTGTGACGGCTCTAGCACATGGGGATGTGGCAGTTTTAAAAAATTGCATTGATATTAAAAAGTTAATTGATAACTTACCCGCATTCGAAGCCTTTGAAATAAAAAAAAGGAATTTGCGTAGATCCTGGACGTTGTTTGTTGTTCTTATTTTTCTCCGTGTTTCCTTGCCGTTGATCCATGTTTCCATAAATCATGTGGGCTTCCTGGTTGGTGATGACGGAGGGGTTGTACGAGCCTGGGTGGTTACAGCCATACGAAAATCGTCTTTTCAAATATTTTTGTCGATACCGAACACCTACCGCCGTTGGTGAGAGACATATTGCCGGCGAACAATCAGTTTGAGGCGGATCCTGCTTCAACTTGTCAATCCACCGAGCATTATTAGAAGCCAAGCTATGGTCACTGGACGGAATTTGAAAGAATTCGATGACCAGCAACGAGCTCAGAACTGACACTTAGAAACTCGGCCGCCATCTTTCTTATTTTACAAACTTGTTTCCAGTACTCTTTGACCGTTTTGTTGTTCTCAACTCATATATGCTTCATTTAGAAATGTCACGGCAAAAAAAACGGCAAAACATCAACCCCCACCCGGACGGGAAATTTTTTGTTGACCTCATTGGACGGGAATTTTACGCGACGATACTGCTACAGAGATGCTACTCCTACTAATGTTTGTAGTAAGGACATAAAAGGAACTATTGAAGTCACGTACGCATGCATGGCACATTTCCAAATGGTATTACAGAAATGTAACTTCTTTCCTTAGTCTTGTTTGTGTAAGGATTTTGGATGTTTATTTGGCTTATTTAATCACATGGATCCGCCGCAAAGCAAAACAAAGCTGTTTTGCGTAGAATAAAAGTTTTAAAAAGCGTAAAACAAAACCACAAACAAAACAAGTGAGTTTCCTTTCTAAACTTTTTCTCTTTAAATTTTTATGAGGACTTTTTAAGGGCAATTGCGGCAAAATTATTGGTGGGAAGTATGTGCCCCCCCCCCGGCCCCTCCCCCCAGCTCCGCTGTCCCTGTAAATTGATAAACAACAGCTTCTTCAAAGATAGATCTTTCCAGCGATACCTCGTTTTGGATATTCTGACCAATCCTGTCAGAGGTACACTCAAGAAAACTACTCTTTGAAGATTAAATTTGCGCCTTTCCTAAAAAGTTAGCTAGCCACAATTCCATGCAAGAGAAGGACGATAAAGTGGGCAACAAAACTGCTAATAAACAAGAAAGGAAAAGGAAAAAAGAGAACGAGAAAGAAAGATCGAAATAGATTGGCAAAAAAGGAACAAATTTTTGCTTTTGCGCACGCGTGAAAAACAAATAAGCTGTTTAATTACGTCAGATCAGTCAAAAAATATGCCTTTTTTCTTGCAAATCTCATTTTTAGCCATTTTTAGGCTAATTAGCTAAAAACTAGTCCAAAGAAGAGGACTTGGTGAAAAATGCCGTCACCAAAGGGTTAATAAAGTTACTGATCTTTTTTAATTGGGCTCTTAGAAATGCGGCTCGGGCTCCTAACTTTTTATTTTAGGAGCCAGAAGCGCTCCCAAAAAATCGTCTTAGGAAGCAGCCTTGGATTCATGAAAAAATCACATTTTAAAACCAACAAAGACAAACCTGGTTCACAAGACAAGCTTCTTTCATTTCTGCATCAGCACCAACCTGTTTCCTATTCTTGGTATCATCATTTTGAAGTATTGCTTCACCTCTTAACTCCTCCCGAACCCAGGCACGGTTAACTGAATTATCATTATACATCTTTTCCACCACCACCTGTGCAACATCTTTCGAACATCCTAGCAACCCTTGTTTTCCCTCACCAAAAGGCCGCCAATTCCTGACTTCATCAACGTTCAAATGAAATTTTGAAGGATCCACTTCAATTCCATCAGTACTTTTTTCTTTTCGATTAAATGGTAGACCAATGAGAGACTTCTTCAAACTTGTTTTTCCTGCCCGATCCTGGCCAATAAGCATTACTCGACCACGGTAAACATTAACAGCTCCATCTTTAAGAGCACTTTCATAAGCAAGCTGTGCTATTTCTCCGCGTTCTTCTATTTCTAAAGGAACTGATGGAAAAACAACGAATGCTTATTAAAGGTAAGTAATGTCTTAGAGGTTGCCTAGTTCATTGGCTTCTAGTTCACTTGACTGACCTATTGTAGGAGGTCATGGGAGGGGGCGGGGGAGGTAAATTCCATCAGAGACTTAGTCCTACATCAGTGTTAATTCTCATTCTTGTGATCTTTCAGTATGGTCTCTTAAGTTATTAAAACAAATCTATGGTAAACATAATTTTACTGAATTTCAAATGTGCCAGATATATAATTCAAAAGTAGGTTGAGTTTGATCGTCCGGTTACACGGTACAGCTATGGGCTCTCCAGTTTCTGTTGTTGTAGCGGAAATTGTCATGCAAAACATCGAGGAACAAGCCCTAGCTACCTACACGCGAACTGTACCTCTTTGGTTACGTTACGTTGACGACACATTCACCGCCGTACACAAAGACGGAATCGACGATTTTCACGAACACCTTAACAGACAGAACGCGGAAATACAGTTCACCAAGGAGATCGAAGAAAATGTTAAGATACCTTTTCTAGACTGCTTGGTCACTCGCGACAACAACAAACTAAAAACGACTATTTACAGAAACCCGACACATACCGACCGATTACTACACCAGTCTTCGTACAACCCGACCTCTCACAAGGCTACTACTATCCGGACTCTGACGAGACGAGCGCAACTAGTTTGTGACCCCCCTGACAGCCCACAAGACGAGACTGATTATCTTAACAACGTTTTTAGTAAGAACAATTCCAACACGGACTTTGTTAGACGGAACACTCACAGTAACACTGATTCCAACACTCGGACCAACTCTGGCCCTGTTACGACAGCGACTATAGGCACCTCTGAAACTATTGCACGTATATTACAACCTTACAATATACGTGTTGCACACAAACCGATAACCACTTTACGGCGACTGCTTACTAATGTCAAGGACAAAGACAAACCGGAGGACAGACGGGGAGCAGTATACAAGATCAAATGCTGCAACTGCCAGGCTTCTTACATTGGTGAAACCGGCAGAAACCTAAGCACGCGACTGACCGAACACAAACGAGCTACGAAGAATGGTGACGTCAACAATCACATTGCTGAGCACCATTTAAAGACGAAACATCAAATTGACTGGGACTCTGCGACATGTATAACGTATTCTACAGACTACTATCAACGTCTTACTTTAGAAAGCTGGTTTACTAACTTAGAACAAAGGCCACTGAATCGTAGCCAACAGTTACCAGCGCCGTACAAACGACTTATTGACGAGATCAAGCAAAACCAACTAGGAGAGAGTGACAATTTGACTAACAATAGACGACTGTTTAACTGTGACAATAGACGGATCGAAACGCACCAATTACTGATTACGAGTCTTCATAGCCAATAACATCACGGCTCAACTGACAGACGACCAATAACATCACGACGTAATTGACCAATCAGATCAATAACCAGAGTATAATACCATCCACTGACGTGATACAACTCACTTTGACTCTGAAGATGACTACCGCACAGGTTGTCGAAACGTCAGTCACTGTCAACAACAACAGTCCTATTCAGGACTACGTTCACCTGGACGATCAAACTCAACCTACTTTTGAAATGACTCCTGGGCTCAAACCTTTCACAGATATATAATTATATGTTGGTTATTTCTGACAATGTTAAAAAATTACCCGCTAACTCAAAGTTGTTTTTTAATGCGCTTACTTCAAGTCTCCATGCATGTTCAAAGCACCATGAATGATGTGTAACAATTAGTGTTCTGTTTTGCGTCATCAGAATTATAATTTTTGTTTGCATTCATGTAAACTGCCTTTCCCTTTAAAAAAACAATTATTCTGAACATCAACGAACTGACTTTGTTCCAATAAGCGTCCACTCTCCAATAAGCGCCCCCACCTCGACTGTATTTTCGCAAACAAGCGAGCGCTTCCATTCCAATAAGCACCCCTATTGCACATTTTCAAGCACACTTATTCCAAGCGCCCCAATCCCAATAAGCGTCGCTATTCAATAACCGACTATTGTTGCATCCTATCGTGACAAGGTTGACCCTAATTCACGCAACCGGAGTGAACAACCGGGAACCAAAGATACTGCCAAAGTGTATGATTTTAAATATCCGACCCCTGGCAAAAGCTGATTCAGCTCCGGCTCTTTATGCTGAACAATAACATTGACATTTGTTTGTGTTGCGGAGTTATGGTTGAGTATGATAATCCTGTCACATTTGATTTGCCCAGAGGGCTGTGTTATGATGAGGAAAGAACGAGCTGGCTCGCGAACGCGTGTTGGTGTTGCTGTTATTTGTCGGAATAATTGGAAGGTTCAAGATTTGAATGTCACCGATAGCTTGAAATTTGAGTCTGTATGGTGTCAAATAACAACGCCAAATTCAGAATATTATGTGGCGAGTATTTGTCATCCCCCTGATCCTGTTTATGACCCTGTTGATCTCCTTGAGTACAGTCGAACCGTCAAGGGAAATCGAAAAAGGTTCGAGTTATCGGGAGTTCGAGTCATCGGGAGTTCGAAAAAAATAGCCGGGAGTAAGGAAAAAAACAGTTTTTACTGCATAGTGAACATTTTAATCACATTTAATTGTAAGAAATGTCAAGTGAAAATTAAAAGATACTTCTAGATTATAAATCAGAACGTAACATAACAAAACCTTGCTTAAAGTGCTACTACGATTAAAATATAATGTCAAGTTTGTTACAAAAACGCTTTCTTTTCAGCTTATCAGAAGTGGCTGTACCTGTTTCGGCCACTGAAATGAACTTTGGCGCCCTCTAAGTGAAAATATTGAGCTTGAAAATAAATGCAGGTTTTTCGCGTCCGCCATTACAAACAGGAGTACCCGACGAAGCCGCTCGACAAAATACCCGCTCTACAGGCAGAATTTGAGCTAGCTGGAAAAAAAAAACATTGGCTAATTAGCTGGCTGGAAAGTCTGAATTAGCGCCTCGCTAGCTGAAAATATGAAAAATTTATGCCGGTTCTGGCTGGATAAAAAGGTATATTTTTTCTCCTGGCAATCGCACTGTAATTTTTTACATGGATATTAGCGCGGGCGAAGTAAGTAACTGCGCGTGAAAATCACCCCACGCGAGCTGTGGAAATGACACCTTTTGCCTGTGGAAACGGAAATTTGTTTGGGTGTGTAAGCAAAACGTCCTGCTGTGAATACCTTGTAAAAGATACACGTAGTGAGAAAATGACACAGTTGAGTCAAGCACCGCTCACCGCTTTGTTTTTAGTCGTTTCGCTGTCGATCCTTTATAGAAAACACTTTTGTGTGTTCGTGTTTTAATATGCCTGTCTACATATCAGCTACTTTCCTACGTTCTACTTTAAACCTGATGTTAAGGCGGCCAAAAGGTGAGCAAAATGCAGTTACAAATTTATGTTCCAGTGAGCTCACGGTTCGGAGTTGCGGGGCGCGATCCATTCAACCAAAATTCAGACCGGTCAGATCGGGAAAAGTGGACCAGTTTTTTCGGAACTTTTTCTTTGCATGAGCATGCACGACCGCTGACTTGTCAAAGAGCACGCGACCAGTGACAGCGACCGTGCTGCATAGTCATAGGAACCAAATTGTTCACTTTGAAAGCTTGCTTGAGATTGAAATGGTAGCAGCAACTTAGGAAAGACCTTCGTTGTACAAAATAAGTAAAGATCTGTTGATTTAAAGTGGAGACTGATGCGCTGAACGAGGTGAAAGAGCAAGTTTCTCAAGGATGTCTGACACGAACATGGTTGCTTGTTGTTGTTTGGCGCTCGACTCGTGTCTTGATTCCCCTTTAAGAACCGCAAAGTTTGGCATAGAATGCATTGCTGATGCATAGCTATTGAGCAAAATGTTCTGTATTTAGTGTTTGTCAATAAAGCGGATGTAAATCAGTTTCTCGATGCCGTAGAGGATTTCTGTCAATAATTTGTTAATAGCTGATTTAGCCATATTTCGGGAGTGGATTAATAACGATCAGCGGGCGACTACCACGCCGTTTTCAGTTGGAATAGAAAGTTTTTGCCTTAAGTATTTTAGCGATACAAAGTTTGTTTATAGGAAAATTATAGAACTTCTTGTTTTTGCGTGGACTAACATTGTAACGCATCTTTTACAGGAATTTGCTTTTAGCCAGAACTTTAATGTTCTAATGATTTTTAACTTTTGGTCGGCATCACATGTTTACTGTACTTCTTGGGAAACTTGGGAAACCTAACCGTTTGTTTCATCAAAATCGGTCACAAGATTTCACTTTAATTTCGGTCCTATTGAATGCAGTTTTGACTGTGTCTCATTGATATTGATTTTTTTTGTTGTTCGAGACATACAGAGTGACTACCACCAACATCTCACCAGGTGACTAATCTACGTCTCGTGTGCTCTTAATTTTGTAGCTTTAAAGTCGGTCATCTTGAAACGCAGACCATGTAGACTGCAGACTGTGCAGACCGTGCAGACTGTGCTGACTGAGTGTTATTTTTTTGTATTTGTACCTTAATTTTCTAGTAAAATTTTTACTAGTTTCCTGCTTTCTCTCATTATGTGCACTATGCATCACCATGATATGTGCACTGATGTGTACCTGCAAGGGTCATGGGTAGGAAATGAGAAAATCACGGGCTCATGTTCACCGTCAGATGTAAAAGCAGTTCGCATGCTTTTAGCTGCGCCGCTTTCACGCAGGAGCGAGCACTATGGAGGAAGGTAAGCTGTTTCCTTTGGTAACTGTGTTATATTGCCACGATTATTTAAATTTTTTTAGTAGAAGAAGCTTTTTCAGGTTAAGTGACTTAAAATAAAACCCTTTTCGGCTTCCTACAACGGCTACGAGAGGGACATTTCTTCGATTTCCTTGATTGTTGATGATCGTCTTTGGTTTCACTCTGTAATTCAAACCGGTGACTTGCCGTCATTTCTTCAAATCTTACAGATAACGATGTCATCGTTGTTAGCTCGGAAGATTCGGGTAAGACTTTTGTTTACGTATTTTTTTTATTCGATTCTCAAGAGTGTCCTTCTGGGCGGGTTTTCACTCGGGGATCGACAATTGTATTTGCTCCATGCATTCACGCCAGTAAGTGGTAGTGGTTTGAAACCGACAATCTTGCGCGAGTATCATGGTTCTTGTTTATGCAGCTCCAAAACTAAATAGTTCATTAGTAACAAATGTATTATTTGTACAACTCGAAGATGTGGAGGGGGTTTTAACGCGCATTGAACTAGATCCCCCGTCGTGTATTTTAGGTATATTTTGTCTTAATTTTCATTGAATATTATCCGTAAGAAGTTTCAAGTCGCTGCCCTTCTTCTCTTAATTCTGACCCTTACGGAACCGCCAAACACGTGGAAATCAGAATACTTATTTTTAGGTAGATATACCGTTGATTTATTTACACTTTTTAAAGCAAGGCCCATCTCTCAAACGTCTCGGTTTGATATCCCGAGCTAACAACGATGACATAGGGATCTGTAAGATTTGAAGAAATGACGGCAAGTCACCGGTTTGAATTACAGAGTGAAACCAAAGACGATATCATGGTGATGCACAGTGCACATAATGAGAGGAAGCAGGAAACTATAGTAAAAAATTTACTAGAAAATTAAGGTACAACTAAAAAAATAACACTCAGTCTGCACAGTCTGCACGGTCTGCACACTCTGCAGTCTGCAGTCTGCATGGTCTGCGTTTCAACATGACCGCTTTAAAGTGCTGGGAAAATTGTAGAACATATATTAATTCACTGCTGAACTGAACATCGGCTTTCGCGCACTTCGAACCCACTCGCTGAAATTTTCTATGTTTTTTTAATATTTCTCTTCCTTTCCCATTTCAAAACAAAGAAAAGTGAAAGTGTTTACTTGCATCAACAAACCTTTCTGCACTTTGTTTAGACTTTGATGAGGTGAGCGCAATGCGCTGTTGTCCAGGTCAAGTGGGGAGATGAAATTTGATAGTAGCTCGTGTATGTTAAAGCCGGTCTACTTCGCTTTTGTTAAGACCATGTTAGAGTTTTTTTTGCAAACTACACATTTCGTTAAATCACGAGCACATTCGCCAAGACCAACGAGCAAAATAATCGCTATGATAGCTTTGAGATGCGCCATTTTGATGAAGGCAAACCCTGTGAGCCTCCATGCACATCGCTTGTTCAGCGGTCGCGCATGCTCATGCAAAAAAGACCCCTGTTTTCCCAGGCAAAAACTGGAACTTTATCTCGGTTTTTTGGAAACTTTCAAAAAATATCTAAACTGCTGTGCTCACC